CCTTTTCCAACCTTTTCAAATCCTCCGTCTCCTGCCCAACTCTCTTTTCATTCCTCCATGTAGCTACTCCTCCTTTCTCCCACCTCCCCATCTTCTCCTCTCTCCCTCTGTTTCCGTTTTGTTTCCACGGTAGCAGAAAATACAGCAATAAGCATGAAAACAAGACTCGCTTGTATCAACATCAGAGTCAGATACAAAGACACCAGGCAGCTTGGCAAACACCCCACAACAGCATTTAAAGGTTCCACACCGAATCCGACGGTTAAAGTGAACTTGTGGAAAGAGCTTTATTGGGACTGAAAGCTGGGAGAAGTTTACTCCTTGTTTTTCCACTGATTCTAAGAATACTCTGTGTTCAGAGGAGGAAACTGGCAAACATGAAGTCATTTGACATTCTCTTGAGGTAAAGCACTGACTAAGATGTGTGTTACATAATTTAGGAGATGCTCCATAACCTCAGAGAACTCTTGAGTTGCTCTTAAACTTTTTTGGTAGACCATTAAAGAAACTTCCACTACAGCGGTAAGTGCCAAAGGCTCGATCAAACTGTGTATAATCCGCCTATTAATAAGCATATGTTTCGAACTCTGAACAGGAAAATACCTTACCAAGACACAGAAAGACTTTTATTCCCTGTGGTCAGCATGCAGTGCTTCTCCTCCTGGTTGAACATGGTCGGCTGTACTGTGAGAGACGCGCTGGCGTTCACTATTGGCCGAGCTCTGATTGCAGACACGAGACAAGAATGAGTAGAATGGTCTGCATGACTGTGATTACGTTACTAAAAGTTTAAACATACCTGTAGAGGACAGCTTTATCTACCCCAAAAGCACCGACAATCAGGTCTGCGAGAAGAGGAAAGTGACTTAAATCAATAAATGAAATGAAACAAAGAAGAAGCGTTGATAGAGATGTGTTGGAGCCTTTTCTGCAGTACCTGGGTACCCGTTTTGATCTAGATCTCTGTTGCCTCGCACAGTAAAGCCAAAACTGGCCGGGAAAGAGCTGAAAGCCCACTGGCCCGAGAGCATCTGAGTGGGGGTGTCCTTCAGTCCTCCGACATGACCGTTGTAGATGAAAACCGACCCCTGCTGGTCGTTTCCTCCGTACGGACAGCCGATTGCCACGTCTGATCGTAAACAGCAACAAGACTTTGTTAACTACATGTATATTATTATGCAAGGCAGCACAACGCAATTATATTCCTTCAACAACAAAATAATGAAGAACAATTGTTCTAGGACTGACAGTTGTTTTTCAAGGAGCAGACTTCAGTCATTTGCTGTGTTTATTGGTTATTTACATAGTTAGACTTTGGCTGAATCTTGAATGAATGAATTGTAGACTGTCAGTGTGTCTGTTAGCTCAGCCAAGTTATCGTTCACATTTGGAAAAGCATCTGAGGCAGTTTAAACGAGTGCTGAAACATGAAATCAGTCACTACGCTCTTTCCCTTATACTGACTCAGTCATGTAGGAAATAAACAAGCAAAACATTTGGCTCTTTATGCTGCGCAAATGTGAGGATTTGCTTTTCCCTGTTTATATGATTGGCACTTTTCACCCTTTTCTCTGTCTTTTTATAGCATGAAACAACCAAAGAAGAAACTCATTAGACAAATGGGCACTTGAGTGCAGATCTGTATGAAAGAAACTACTTCATGGGACAGAAACTAAATCTAAAAAAACAAACTGAGTGCAGTATTATTTCTGGTAGGCAACAACGTTCACCTCAGCCAGCACTCCCAACAGATCTGCTAATCTGCCAGCCCACAGACAGTTGAGCTGGTACACTTCTTATTTGCACACAAGAGGGCCACTTTTGGCTAAAGGCTTCACCACAGCAAGTAGCTCTGCAGATTTTGTTTCACAAACATTTTCATTTATATTTGACAACGCCAAAGGCATTTGTGTCTCTAGTTAGAATTGAACCAGGAACCTTCTGCTTGCCAAGAACAACCACTACACTACACTCTCATGTCATATTGCCAAAATCTCATATAGTGGCTCCTTTAAGGGTGCTTTAGCATTGACCCTGTTTCCTTTGCAACCCACCTTTACCCCAGATTATCAATTTCATGCTATTTCTGACTTAATCAAGGTTATGTCTTTTGTCAGTTTTTTCTGTTTCTGCAGCTCTCCCATCACGTATGCCTGGAATTTCAGGGAGGAACAAGAACAGAGCCATGCATCTGAAAATAAATGACTCCAGATGGAAAAATAATCTTACTTTAACTAACGTGGTCTCAAAAGAAAAGGTGGCATGTTGGTGACTGATGCCTCAAATTTAAAAAAAGCCTTCCTTTTTCTCCAGATGCACTAGCTTCCTCCCACAGTCCAAAGACGTGCATGTTAGGTTCAACAGTGCGCCTGTGAGGCTGTCTGTATTTACTGTATGTGTTAATGGTATGATGAACTGGAAACTTGTCAAGTGTTTAACTCCCCTCTACACCAGGCTCCAGTTTCCCTGCACCCCTAAGCTGTGTAAGTGGTTAAGACAATGTGTGGATTTCCCAATAGAAATAAGTTATAGTAAAGTATGTTCAGAAATGGGGTTCTGACCTATAGTGTAACAACTGAATTATTTTGTCTCGTTTTGGTCTATATTCAGCACATTCTCTATGATGCAGATTTACCATTGAAACCATCTTGGTTGAGGTCACCCAACGGGGCCAGAGAGGTGCCAAACCGGCTGAAGGCCTGAAGACCCAGGAGATGAGACTGACTTGGTTCCAGCTCCAGAGGACCCCTCTGTAGATACACATACACTTTTCCCAACTCCTCCAGACGCCCGTTAGTCCCTCGATGCATGAACAGCGGCGCTCCCACCACCAGGTCATCCAGACTGGAGTTTTGGGCAAAAAGCAAATTATGAAGCTTTATTCTTTCCCCATGAAGACAACAGGAAGACCCTGTACCCTCAACGACACCTCCATATATATCAATAAAGAGTTGTTTTGATGACCAGTAAACTGTATAGGCAGAGATCACCCTGATTAACGTCTGATGCACCCCAATCATTTTGTTCTGGAAGCAGGTCTGACAGAAACCACTCAGTTTAGAAAAGAGTAACGATAGTCACCCTTGTACATGAATTAATGACCAGAAAATCCATTGTTTTTTAAATTTAAAGAAAGAAATTTGATGTAATGTATGAGTTTTAATTTGTATCATATTTGCTACATCCGATATTTTTGTAATTGCAGTTGTTTAAAAGGTGTTGTGGAATTTGGGGGGTTTTCAGAGGAAAAGCACACTTGGCTTCACAGGGTTAAATGAGGACAAAAGAAAATTAGGACATTGACACAGACAATAAGATACAAAGAGTCTAATTTGAGTCAAAGCCACATAATCAGATAATGATTTTGTGTGCTCCCCTTTTAGTATTTGCCTTTAACACACAATGAAATGAAAAAATGCATCTTCAAAAAATGTAATCCTCCTTTTCCCTTTTATGTAACTTTAGGAGTTTGCAGCATTGTGACTCA